ACCGGCCCTCCAAGACGAGCGGCAACCTCGGTCTACGGACGAGGCGCCGAGAGCACCTTGTAAGGACGCGAGCAGCTCGACGCCTAGCTCCTCCTCCACTCGCCTCCAACCTTCGGCCCTCTGCTCCAGCAGCGCCGGGGCGACCCACGCGTGCCTGCTCACGAAGACCTCGAGCGCCGCTCGCACCCGACGCCCCGCCTCCCGCAGCAGAGGTAATCTCTCCACCGAGCGGGCCGGGTCCCGCATTCCTCCGATGCAGTCCCGGTTTTCTCGAGCTCGGGCGTCTCGCCCGTTTTCGCCCCCCTGCCTCCCCGTGCGCTCCCGGGTCGCGGCGATCGGGCTCTCGCCGCAAGCACCGGCCGCGGTCACTCTCGGGCGCGCGCCCCTCCGCACCAAAGCGTTGCCTCACCACCCCACTCTCATCAGGTCGTTCGCCGTCGCCTGGGCGGCCCGACCCGCTCCCCACCTCCCTCCCGACCAAGCCACCCCCCGCCCAGGACACCACCCCCGCCCCCGGAGGAAGGGAGGGGGCGGAGGGAAGGGAAGGAGAGGGGGAGGGAAGCGGGCGGCAGAGAGGAGGGAAAACGGAGGAGCAGGAGGAGGCACCCTCCGCAGCGCTTCCGGCGATCAAGCGCCGACCGCGAGGAGCGTCCCACCTGCCACCACAATCCGGGCACAGACCCTCGCTGCCCCCCCGCGCACGCGCGCGCACGCGCGCGCAGCACGCACACCACAAGACACACGCACACACACAACCACACACGCACACACAACACACACACGCACACACGCGCACGCCAGCCACACGCACCGCGCAACACAACAGAAACGGCCACTCCAGACACCCCTCACAACGTGTCCGGCGAACGTGGCCGATATTACTGTGCAGCACGCCTCGCATACACCCCCAGACACGACAAGCCCCGAAGGGGGAGTTCCACGGCATGCCTCGCCGGCCACTCCCGGACCAGCACGCAGTGCCGCCCCCTCCCGCGACCGGCCCGCGCGGTGCCCAGGGCCCGCGGGCGACTGCATCCTCCCCTCCGCGGCACAAGCGGCTGCGCAGTTAGCCACCCCCTGTGCTACCGCGACCTCCCCCCCCCCTCAAGGCGCGCCACCCCACCCGGGCGACCGCGCCGAGCCGGCGCCGCTTCCTCCGCCGAGGGCCTGGGATGCAGTCTCGGGGCCGCTCACTCGAGCGACGCGCCCCTGCTCCGGAAGCTCTGACAGCAGCGGCGCCGGCAGGCCCTCGCGATCTGCCCGCGCGGCACTCTCGGCCGCCCGGGCGGTCTCCCCCCCAGCACACGCCGCGCGGCCCGCGTCGCGCACTCGGCGACAGGACCGCGCGCTCGCCGCGCCCGGCGGCGATGCGGGCCTGCCGTTGCACGCCGCCCGCGCGGCACCCTCGGCCAGCGGGGCTCCCCTCTTTCTCCCCGCTCTCTGCGCTGCTCGCGCCGCGCCCTCGGTAGACGGGCCATCCCTGGCGGCGTCTGGCGACGGCGCTGGCGCGCCCGGGGCGGTACTCTCGGCCGCCCTGGTGCCCCTCGACTCCCCTTCCTCTCGCCCCGCCTCGGCCCGCGCCACGCTCTCGGCGGCGCGGTGCCAACCATCGGCCGGCCACCGTCAACCGATTGCGCGGCAGCCGATGGTGCGGTGCGGGCCGCGGCACCACTCGCACACGCGCGCGCGGCCGTTCGGGCACGGCCCCGGGCCGTCCGTGCAGCCTGCCGGACTCCGGTTCCACTCCCAGCAGATCTGCGTGCCGCCCGTGTCGCGGAAGTACCGGCCGTCGCTCATGCGCGCCTCGGTGCCCTTCCCGGCCGCGGCCTTGCCGCCTGCTTTGCCCGCGCGGCCACCTCCGCGGCCCTTGCCGCCGCCGCCGCCGCCCGGCTGGGCCTGGCCGGCACTCTCGGCCGCCTTGCGCCGCTTGCCCCCGCCGCCGCGGGAGCCCGCCGAGCCCCCGCTGCCGCGGCCGCCGCCGCCGCCGCCAGCCGACCGCGGGGGCGACGCGGCCCGCTTGGCGGTGCGTAGCGGCCCGACACCGTCGTCCAGAAGCGCGGCCTCGTTCTGGATGCGCGAGGCGTACAACAACGCCTTCCTGTCCACGTTCGCACCCCACCAATCGGTGTCCCGGGCCGCCTCGCGGAACACTGTGTCCCACGGCCGGTCCGGGTCGAAGGTCGACGGCAACCTCGCCTGGACGAGGTCGGCGTGCTCTGCGGCGCACCGCCGGCGAATGCGTTCGAGGTGCTCGCTCCGCATGCGCAGGTCGGCCAACGCGACCAAAAACCAGTACTGCGGGTAGTCCTCCGCGAGCTGCTGGATCTTGGTCTTGTACTTGTCCAGCCGGGTCTTGGACGCCGCGCCGAGGACCTCCATGGCGAAGGCGAAGACCGTCCACGCCTTGAGCCACTCCTGCAAGGAGCTGGGGCCGCTGCACTCCTTCCGCTGGAACCCGCCCCCGGGCAACGGGACGACCGCCTCGAACTTCAACGCGCGCCCGAGCCGAGCGCCGAAGGGCCGCCACACGCCCATGTCGACGAACGGCGTGGCACCCGTGCGGAGGCGGTGCTCGAGGGCCGACAACTGGTCTCCAGTCGCCTCCTCCTCCTCCGCCGGGTCCTCTCCGTCGTTGTGCTGGACCTTCCATTTCTGGAGAAGGTCGCGCAGCACTTCCGTGTTCAACGGGCGGATCTCGGAGTCGTCGCCCTGGTCGATGACCGTTGCCATTTTGATCCGCTGGCCCTCTGCCTGCGGAGCGTTGCCACCTTGCGTCGGGGAGGGTCCATTGCCCACAGCCGGCAAGCCCAGGGCGAGCCGCGCGATCCGTTGGACCTCTCCCGCCTGACCCTCCTCGACGGGAGTCAGCCGCCGGGTCGTCTTCGCCTCCGCAATGCCCTCGGTTGCCGGCGTGACGACCTCGACCTGCACCTCCGCGCACGCCTTCTCGTAGCGCCCCGCCGGTATCGATACGATGTGTCGCAACATCGACGGATTTCCCAAGGCCGTGAGGAACGCTGCCTTGAAGTTCACCGCTGGCGGGCCTGCACTGTCGGCAACTCCGACCCATTGCAGCACCGCGTCCACCGAGGTAAGCTGTGCCAGCTCGCTCGGCGACGGATCCATCGCAGGAGCACTGCAAGGAAGCGGGGGAAGGGCTTAAATGCCCACTGCGCACCTCTGGAGCCCAGGCGGCTTGAGCCAAAATGGCTACGTGGGCATTAAAAGCAAATTAGGGTGGGTGGCGCGGGGCTTAAATGCCCACTGCGCACCTCTGGAGCCCAGGCGGCTGTGGATGCGCGCTTGCCCCTGCGACTCTACTCATGAACTACACCCCTCACTTGCTCACTACGCCCCTCACCCCCTCGCTCACGGGCTGCTCCCAAGGATACGTGTGAACGGGCACTCCCCTCAAGCCACCCGCTCACCTCCCAGGGGTCAAGCGACTGACCTCCAGAAGCCACCCCATGCATCCTCCTCCTCCTCCCCTCCCCACGTGCCGTGGCTCCCGCACGGGCTCACCTCCCGGGGGTCGAAGCGACTGACCTCCAGAAGCCATCTCCCCCTCCTCCTCGTCCTCCACCCTCAACAATGCCGTGGCTCCCGCACGCACTCATTCATGCGTGCTCGCTCTGTTGCGTTGCTAGTGCGCCCGCAAGCGTGCTGTCCAACACTGGGCCCTTCGGTGGAGCAAACTATGGGGCCACGAAACGTGTGAGCGTTGCACCGAAATGGAAGTGGAACTACATGCGGACCTTGCCACTGGGGCCTTCGGTGGAACAAACTACAGGGCCACGAAACGTGTGAGGGTTGCGCCACTATGGAGGTAGAACTGCATGCGGATCCTGCCACCGGGGCCGTCGGTGGAGCACCCTATAGGGCTACGAAACATGTGAGCGGTGCGCCGGAGTGGGGGTGGAACTGCATGCGGACCCTGCCACTGGAGCCTTCGGTGGAGCCCCCTACGGGGCCACGAAACGAATGAGGGAAGCGCCGAAATGGAAGTGGAACTGCATGCGGACCCTACCACTGGGGTTGTCGGTGGAGCACCCTATGGAGGCACGAAACATGTGAAGGGTACGCTGGACTAGAGGTTGAACTGCATGCGGACCCTGCCACTGGGGCCTTAGGTGGAGCACCCTATGGGGCCACGCAACGTGTGAGGGGTGTGCCGACATGGTTGATTTGTGCGGAGGGCCGAGGCAGGGTTGGGAGGAGGGAGGAGTGGGAGGAGGCGGGAAGGAGGGACTCAGGATTGTCTGGGAAAAACGCAAGAGATTCACGAAGAGAAAGCGGGTCGTTTCCAAACTGTGGCTCTCGCCTTTTCGCCAAGCATATTCCTTTAAACGGATTGCAAGAAGTTCACAGATGGAGGGCGAGTGGTTCTCAAAAGTTGGCTCTCGCCTCAGCACTGCGCACTCGTCTTAAACATGTTGCGAGAGCTTCACGGATAGAGGGCGAGTGGTTCTCAAAATGTGGCTCGCGCCGTAGTGCCGCGAAAACTCGTCTTAAACATTTGCAAAAGTTTGTTACGGAGGGACGGCGGATCCTTTATAAAATGTGGCCCTCGCCCAAGCGCCACGCCAAAGATCGCAACACTGTTCACGGTCTCTGTCTAGGGCTCTCGAGGACGGTCGAACCTTTCGCTTCCACATACCTGTTCACTGGGGGCCGCTTCCTCTCCAGTTGAGGGGGGTCCGGCGCGGTACCAGCGCGGTGCGTTCCATGGTGCCCGCCCGCAGACGATGCCCGTGCCCCCCGGCCCTCTCCCGACCCGCTTCGCGTCCCCCTCCCCCGCCCCCTCGCCTTCCGCCCCCTGCCTTCTCCTCCCTGTCCTCATCCTCACCGTCCTCGTCATTGGCGTCCCCCTCCTCGTCCTCTTCCTCCCTCTCCTCCTCGTTCTCCTCCTCGTCCTCCTCCTCTTCGCAGCCCTATTTCTCCCGCTGTTCCTCCTCGTCGTCATCTTCGTCCTCCATCCATCTCCTTCTCCTGATGCGCGCCTGCGCCATATGGCGAACATGGAGCGCTTGCTGCTGCTGCCGGGTTGCTTGACGGCTTCCTGCAGGGCCGGCTTTGATAGAATGCCTCCTCGAGCTCCTCCTACTCCTCATCCTCCTCAATTTCCTCCTCCGTCGCTGCGTCCTCCTCCTCCTCCTTGAGCTCCTCCTCCTCCTCCTCCTCCTCCCCCTTTTCCTCCTTCTCCTCCTCCTCCTCCTCCTCCTCCTCCTCCTCGAGTGCGTCCTCGAACTCTTCCTCCTCCTCCTCCTCCCTCCTCCTCCTCCTCCTCCTCCTCCTCCTCCTCCTCCTACTCCTCCTCCTCCTCGCGTGCGTCCTCGAACTCTTCATCCTCCTCCTCCTCCTCCTCCTCCTCCGGCCTGCGCCCTCTGTCCTCTGTCCGCCGTCCTCTATCCTCTGACCTCTATCATCCGTCGACCCCCATCCTCCTCCTCCTCCTCCTCCTCTTCCTCCTCCTACTCCTCCTCCTCCTCCAACTCCTCCTCCTCCTTGAGCGTAGTCAACCTCCTCCTCCTCCTCCTCCTCCTCCTCCTCCTCCTCCTCCTTGTCCTCCGTTTCCTCCTCTCCTCCTCCCTACGTCCTACGTCCTACTCCTCCTCCTCCTCCAACTCCTCCTCCTCCTTGAGCGTAGTCAACCTCCTCCTCCTCCTCCTCCTCCTCCTCCTCCTCCTCCTCCTCCTGTCCTCCGTTCTCCTCCTCCTCCTCCGTCCTACGTCCTACGTCCTCCTCCTCCTGTCTTCCGTCCACTTCCTCTCGCGTCCTCCTCCTCACCCTCAACACCCATCTGTTCGCGTTCTCCCCCCTCATCCCACCTCCTCGAGCTTCTCCTCAAGCTCTTCCTGCGTGCGTCTCGCGCTGATGCGCTCTGAGACTATGTGCTTCGGGCGCGCCCAGGAAGGGTCACCCCCAAAGGTTCACCCTCTCCAGAACATCGTCGGCTGGGGGGGGACGCGGGAAACGCTCGCTCTGAGACAGAACGACAAGGGGGGTCGATGGAACTGTTCAACATAACGCTCAGCCGCTTACCGACGCTTCGAGAATGGAAGGAGAAGGCATGGGAACGGCGGCACTCGAACAATGACCATGAGGAACGCACACATGACTGACACAATGACCTCGAGAGTTGCTAAATGGATAATTACGCGGAAAAGAGGATCAAAGCGGTGATAGCGATGAACCTGTATTAACCGTCATGTGAGCGAGAGAGAGAGAGAGAAAGAGGACAAAAAAGAAAGAAGAGGGAGACAGAGATAGAAAGGGAGAGAGAGAGGCTGACCTCATGAGGGCATCGATCTATCCTGCCATGCTGAGTTCTTCGACCGCCAAGGACGCCCCAATCGGCAAGCCAATGCACACCATGGAACGGCCGTTGGTCTTCGGTGAAGGGGGCGGGTTGAGGAAGTCGAGGGGCCCGGAGCCCGGGGGGGAGGAATGGCGAGGAGAGGGGAGCGAGATGAGGACGAGATGAGGACGATGCTGATAAGCGTGGAATATGGTGCTATGGTTGCTGACAAGGAAGTTGGAGGAACATCCGTCGTCAACTGCAGATAGCTGCTCAATAGAGAAGGACGGACGAAACCCCTTGTCATGTCTTGCGTTGAATCCTTTGATTGTAAAAAATTGCGTATGTCGTCTGCCCGCCTCTTGTGCGGACGATTCGGCCGCCTGCCGTTTGCGTTTCTGTCCTTGTACATGGAGGTCGGAGGAGCAACCGCAGAATGAGCACGAAGAAGAAACACCACGTTTACCACGCTCGCTTCCCATCCTGGAAGCGAAGGGCATGCAACTTTTGTGCTTAGTATACAACCTAAGCAATGCAGATGGAGAGGAGTTCGAGCAGGACAATCGTGAAGATGGGGATCATCACGACAACGGTGGAGACGATGGTGATGGTGATGGTGATGATGATTATGGAAGAGGAAGAGGATGCTGATGATGCTGATGATGCTGATGATGGCGATGAAGTAAATACTGATGATGGTGATGCTGTTGATGATGATGATGGTGATGATGATGCTGATGATGCTGCTGATGATGATGGTGATGGTGATGGTGATGGTGATGATGGTGATGGTGAGGATGATGCTGCTGATGCTGATGCTGATGATGCTGATGATGATGATGATGGTGGTGGTGATGATGGTGATGGTGATGGTGATGGTGATGGTGATGGTGATGGTGATGCTGATGATGCTGATGATGATGCTGATGATGGTGGTGATGATGATGAGTAGGTGCATCGGATCGGGCCGCACCAGCACAGAGTCGGCTTCGATTCGGATCGGCCGCGCCATGATGCTCAGCAGCGCACACGAAGAGAACATCGGGTCGCATCGACTCGAACCGAACCGGATCGGGCAGGCCAGAACCGATGTATGACCATATTTAGGTCGGGCCTGTCCCCCCTACAGGGGGTTTTGGACGAAAAGCAATACCCCCAAAATAGTTTTTTCTTAAAAAAAAAGTCTGGGGACTATTTTTTGATTTTGTTTTTACCTGCTTGGGGTATTGTTGGGGTATTTTTTATTTTTCGTCGAAAATCCCCCTGTAGGGGGTCAGGCCCGACTTAAGACCAGATCCATCGGATCGAAAGACGTCACCAATAACTGGATCCTCGAATCTCGAACCTCGAGGGTAACGCACGCGGGGGGTAGCAAAGGGGGTTGGCGAATCGGCTTACGCCACCGGTCTCTCCAACGTAAGAGGCGCCCACGTGTCGAGGAAAGCCTTCAGCAGCGGGGCCGAAAACCACTGCATGCAACAAATGTCGTACCCCCCCCCTTCCCTGCCACCCACTTCCGTCTTCGCCCGACCCGAACCATCCTCGTCGTCTGGCCTCCGGCTCACTGCTCGGGACGATCCGCGCAGTCCCAGAAACGCTCTCGGCGAGGCGCAGCCGCGTGAAAGCACCCCGAAGCTGGACAACCTCTGGAAACCGACGAAATAGCCCGAAATCGTCAAAACGCTGCATGTCTTATGTTGTTTCCATCGTACTTCAGAACAACATCCCAGAAATAATATCGAGCACCCAGAAAAGTGTCGAAACCGTGTCGAGCGAGGGTCGCCTCCCAGGGCCCGACACGTGAAACCCCTCAAGTTTCGGTACGTTTTTGGTGCTCGACATTCTTTCTGGTTATCCAGGCCAAAGTAGGTTGGAATATCAGAATGCGTGTCTTGGACCCTGCGTGCCGTCGCGATGACCAGGCCGCCCCCGCCGTTGAGCGCGTCCGCCAGGCGCAGCTGCCAGAGAGCACCCCGGGGCTGGGGCGCCGCCGAGGGTCAGAGAGACGCCCGAGGAGACCTCAAGCGGCCCGCCCCCCACCTCTCGGGAGGGGGGCGCGTCGCAGCGTCGGGAGGGCAGCGCTACGGTGGGGGCACTGGGTGTGCAAGGCAGGGCTGTTTCGTTTCTCGTTTTGCTCTACCTGTTTTCCTGCACCTCCCTGCCGAAACGGAAAACACAACACAGCCGAAGTCCAGCAAAACAGCGTTTAGGTCCAGCCCTGGTATAAGGAGCCCTCCGAGAAGGAGTTCAGGGTCTGGGAGCCAGCGTGACGCGGAGTGAGGCTCAGCCATGGACATCACCGCCACCCTCAACAGGCAAGGGATCCTCTAGGGTACGTCAGGGGATGTTGCATCTTCGGGGGACCTAGGCTGTCCCGTCGCGCGCTCTATCAACGTCGGAGCCGTGTCGAATCCATGCCGGACTCGTCGAATCCGCGTCAAATACACGTCGAATCCACATCGAACCCACGCCAAATCCGCGTCGAACCCGCATCGAGCCCGCGTCGGGCACAAGAAAAGATACCAAGATTGTGGACAGACCTTGTCCTCCAAAAATGCAACGTAACCAATCGCCCATGCATCCTCGAACGTCGAGGCTCGAACCGAACCGGATCGATCGGATCGACCTGGTCCCGATGCGGGCTCTGTTCGGATTTGGCGTGGACTCGATGTGAATTCGACGTGGGTTCGACGCGCATTCCACGAGTCCGACTTGGATTCGACACGGCCTCGACGCGGATCGGGGGCGCGACGGCCAATCGCCCATGCATCCTCGAACTTCGAGGCTCGAACCGAATCGGACCGACCGCACCGAACTTCGAGGCCCCGAACTCATGGGCCCATTTTCCACCACCGCTGCCATAGGTAGGAGAGGGAGGATGAGGTGGAGGTGGAGGTGGAGGTGGAGGCGGCGGTGGCGGAGGAGGAGGAGGAGGAGGAGGAGGAGGAGGACGGGGAGGGGGAGGAGGAGGAGGAGGAGGACCTCCTCATCCCCCGTCTCCCCCGTCCTGCACACGGCAGCGGTGGCGGAAAGCTTGCCCCTCAGGAGCGGGCGCGGTCCTCGCGCTCCCCGCTGCCGCCGGCGCCAGGCCCCTCCGCCCCGGGGCCCGGCTCCATGGAGGGGGCGCGCGGAGGGGGGGGGGGAGGGGGCGGCGCGCGGGCTCTCTCAGGGGGCGAGCGAGGGGAGGGCGGGCAGGACGGCGGCGCGAGGCCAGGGCAGGGAGGGCCGGGGGGGTGGGAGGAGGGAGGGGGGGGAAGCGAGGGGGAGGGGGAGGAGTAGGATGGGAGGGGGGAGGGCGAGAAGGAGGGGCGTCGAGGAGGAAGGATGAGGAGAAGGGACGGGGGGGGGAGAGAGGACCAGGAGGAGGAGGGGGAGGCAGAGGAGGAGCGAGCGAGGGGTGGGCACGGGTGGACGGAGAGAGGGGAGCTGGGATGGGGTGCTCGAGGTTGGGCGGCATCGAGAGCCGAGGAGGGAGGGCGGGCAGGATAGGCAGAGGGGGGGAGGCGAGGGTGGATTCACGGAGGTAAAGGAGGCGGGGGAGGTGGGGGAGGAGAATCGGGGATGGACAGACAGACCTCCCTTTAGTAAAACGTGGTTTAGTGAAAACGACCTCGGGCCCAAACCTGGCGGGCGCAAGCCAGGAAAATAACGGCCGCGGCGCCCTCTCGAGAACCGGAAACGGACAATTCACTAATCGACGTGTCACTGTTGGGGGGTCTGTCCGCCCCCGAGAGAAGGGGGGGGGGAGCGGGAGGACAGGGGGAGAAGGTGAGAGGGCGGATGACGGAAGAGTGGGTGAGTGGCAGGGGTTGATTGATGGCGCCTCGGTGAAGTGCGAGTCTGACTGCCCGCAATCAGGGAAGGATCGCCCTTGCTACCCTGGGGATGATACTCCCAGGTTGAAGGAGAAAGAAGGGTGCAAGGGTAAAGTAGGAGCTGCAGCAAAGCAGGAGCCGCTCGACGTCATCGACCGCCGCACTGGCACTGCTAAAATCATCGACGGACCTCGGGTCTCCTGACGAGGGTAACATGAAACGGATGTCAACCTTCGGCGGTGGACAAGCCTCCCTTTAGTAAAAAACCCTTTAGCGAAAACAGCCTAGGACCGAAACCGACGGACCCGGACCCGCAACAATGACGGCCACGACGCCCTCTCGCGAACCGAAAACGACCAATTCGCTAATCGACGTGTCAGGGTAGGAGGTCTGTCCACCCCCGAACCTGAGCAACGGCAGGAGGAGGACTCACTCACGGTGGGGAACATCGGCCCGGTGTTTCGAGGCTCGAGGTTCGAGGTTTTCAGACCTTTTCGCTGGATCTCAGCGGCGGCGTTTCAGACTCGGGGTGCCCTCTGATCCTAGGAGGGTGTCATAAAAAAACCAAGGAGGGTGTCAACAAAAGCACCAACGCCGACCCTGTCCGGGCCAATCCTGGGCCAACGGTCCACGCACGTGTCCGTTCTGCCTGGCACTGCGGGCGCATGCGCCGCGCCGATCCTGGGCCCGGGTTTGACCCAACCGCGGTTGGCGCTGGTGCACATTTGCGCAGCGCCCCCCGACCAACCCTTATGTGGCCATCGCTCGGACGTCCATTCCCTGTGTTTTTGTTCGGTTTCGTGCGTGGCTTTTTCGCCAAATGATCAAGGATGCTCCTCGATTGGTCCTCGCCGAGAAAAAATGCACACGTCCGAGCGATGCCAAGTTATATGATCTGGTTATCCTTCTGCTCGACCTCCTTCCTCTTACTGACCGCCCTCCCTCTCTGCACAACCAAAGGAAGCACAGCATGACAAATCTCACGCTGTAGAACTGCATGCCCACACCACCTCCCGAACGTCAAAAAAGCAATGATATGAGAAGCCATACGCCTGTCGCGCTTGAAAAGAAGTCACACAACAATGGCTTGGCAATGTGACAAGCGTACGTGTGAAGTGCTAAGAAAACACAACAAACACGGAGGCAAACAAAAACGACGATATTAGAATAAGCCCCCACCTCCACAACCCTTTGCCACTACACTGGTCGCAACACCGCGCAGTGCCAATGTAACCGTAACAAAAGAGTAAGTCCCGTAAAACCCTTGGGCTCCCAATCGCTAAAACACAACTTAGCATAGAATACACTTTGCCCAGATTCCCAACGTCCACCAGGATGAAAGTTGACAGTTTTAGCAATGGGACATGCTCCCCACGCGCCACGTGGAAGCACTGGGCAGTGGGGCAAGGCGGAGTGAGGAGAGCGGGGGGGGGGGGACAACTGGAAGAGGGGAGGGCAAGAATGAGGGGGAGCGGAGAGAGGAGGGATGTCTAGGACGAAACACGACGAGCATCGAGGAGGGAGAGCAGATATCTCCGCCCTCCTAGGTTGTGAGGGGAGAAATGGCGAAACACGCATACGGGGTGGGACTCGCAATGCCCATCGTTTCTGGCCTTTCCCAACCATGCTGTGGTGTTTGGTCCTCGTTTTGAATCAGTAGCGCCCCCCGGTCCGCACTCCTCATCCTCCTCCTCCCCCTCCCTCCTCCCATTTCCGTCTCTGCCTTAAGCATGGTCATGCCAGCACACCCCTCACGCCCTTTTTGGCCCCATAGGGAGCTCCACCTAAGCCCCAGCGGCAGGGTCCGCATGGCGGCCCTGCACCCATGTCGGCATACCCCTCACACGTTTCGTGGCCCCATGGGGATCTCAACCGAAGGCGGCGGCCACGCACCCGTGTCATCACACCTCTCACACGCTTCGTGTCCGCATAGGGAGATCCACCGAAGGCCCCAGCGGCAGGGTGCGCATGGCGGCCCCGCACCCTTCGCAAATCACGCCTCACAAGACACGTGGCCCTGTAGGGAGCTCGCTACAGCGGCAGGATCCGCATGGCGGCCCCGCACGCATTTCGGCACACTTCTCACGCGCTTCATGGCCCGATAGGGAGCTCCACCGAGGGTCCCAGGGACATGGTCCGCATAGCGGACCCTCACCCAGCGTGACACACCCCTTGACACGTAGCGTGGCCCCGGTAGGGAGCTCCACCGAAGGCCCCGGCGGCAGGATCCGCGCGGCGGCCCCGCACTCAGCTCGGCGCACCCCTCACGCGGTGCGTGGGAGCTCCGCCGACAGCTCCAGCGGCAAGGTCCGCACGGCGGCTCCGCAGCCATGTCGGCACACCCCTCTCGCGCGTCGTGGCCCCCGAGGGGAGCTCCGCCGAAGGCCCCCCAACGGCAAGGTCCGCAGGCCGGCACACGCACCCGCTTCGGCACACCCCTCTCACGCGCTCCGTGGCCCCATAGATCGGGGACACGTAAGGCTCGGGTTCGGGGGACTCGGGTTGGCTTGACGGGGCCATCACGAAGATGACGAGGCCCAGTCCGAAAGTTGACGAGAACTCTCGCTGCAGACGTCCCACGAAACTCGGACCGTCAAAATTCAGGACGCGCATTGCAAAAAAAGCGTCGGCAAACCCGAGTTCCGGCGTAATCGAGTCTTACGTTTCCCTGAATAGGAGTTAGGTCGGGCATGTCCCTCTACAGGCGGATTGTGGACGACAAATCAAACAAGCCAAACAAAACGAACTCAACAATCATCAACAGTAGACACACAAAAAAAAACGTCCCCCCACTAGATCTGGACTATGTTTTGAGCCCTCCTCCTGTAGAGAGGGACGTGCCCGCCTTCGGGGTAGAGGCCCGCCCCGCCTTCGCCCCGCCTGCCCTGCCGCGCTCGAGCCCGCATGCGGCTGGGCCCTCCTCCCGGCGATCTGGGGATGGACAGACCCCCCTTTCGTAAAACCGAGGTTGGGCGGCGTCGAGAGCCGAGGAGGGAGGGCGGGCAGGATAGGCAGAGGGGGGGAGGCGAGGGTGGATTCACGGAGGTAAAGGAGGCGGGGGAGGTGGGGGAGGAGAATCGGGGATGGACAGACAGACCTCCCTTTAGTGAAACGTGGTTTAGTGAAAACGACCTGAGGCCCAAACCTGGCGGGCGCAAGCCTGGAAAAGAACGGCCTCGGCGCCCTCTCGAGAACCGAACACGGACAATCCACGAATCGACGTGTCACTGTTGGGGGTTCTGTCCGCCCCCTAGCGATATCTTTTTCGTCCCCCGCGCTCCGGCCTCGCCCCGGCCGCGCGCGCGCACACCAAGGGGGGGGGGGCAGCTGCAGAGCGCGGGATGGGGCGGCCTTGGGAGGCGGCCGGGTGCTGTGCTGCAGGCGGGATCTGTCGAGCACCGGGTGCTGTACAGTCGGGGCCTTGACCTAAGGAACCCTAAATCCGCCGATCCGGCGTGTGAGTTTCAAGGAGTCTCAGCTACAGCCTCGAGGCTGAGCCTCAGCCTCTGGGGGGGTTGCCGGGGTGGCTCTGCCGGGGAAGGGGGGGTGGGGGGGGGGGGTGCGAGTTTCCGGCGGATGCGTTTTTTGACACCCCTCACAAGGATCGTGGCCGAGGGGGGTTCCTCGAGTACACCCCTCCCCGCCAAAGGGCTCCGAGGAGGCCTCCAAGAGGCCCCAAGGGCGCAGAAGAGGCCCCCAAGAAGCCCCAAGAGGCTCCCAAGAGACCCCCAAGAGGCCCTCTAGTGGCCCCAAGAGGCCCAAGAGGCCCCCAAGAAGCCCCAAGAGGCGCCCAAGAGGCCCCCAGAAGTCCCAGCCAACCACGAGATCCCAACCAGCATCCATGAGGCCTCTGACCCACCACCCACGCACGGTGGCGGGATAGGCCGACGGCCACTGGATAAATGCTGAGTGAGAGGAGGGGAGGGAAAAAGAGAGGAGGGACGAGGGCGAAGAAGGATCACATCAGTCGGAGCGCCCCGGATCGGCGGCACTGGCCGAAGGCCACTACAATAAGGAACGAGGCCCCTTTTTTCCATAAGTTAAACTTCGATGTCGTATCGAAACCCTAAGGAAAATCTAAGGCAAGCTGCGAAACACTTAAGGAACGCGGAGCCCCTCCCCAACGAAAAGGGTTCCTTCTTCAGGGCCCCGACTGTAGTGGAGGCGGACGCCGTCGAGTGCGGGGTGTTTGTGTTTCTGGAGATAGGGCAAGGGTGTGGTAGGAAGGGGTGTGGTGTGTTACTTCTATGTCAAGGGGGCCCTGGCGATGTTACGCATCGCAGAGAGCATCGCCATTGCCACGATTGGCGCCATGCCACACCCCGTTCCGACCTCCAGAGTGTTGAACGCGGAAGCACGGCGGGCGGGCGGCGGGGGGGCGGGCGGCGGACGGGCGGCGGTCGGGCGGCGGTCGGATCTGCTGGGGGGTGCCGTGGGGGAGACGGCTGGGGGGGGGAGGAGCCTTCCTAAAAGCATTCAAGGCTTCGAGGAGGCCTTCCCCGAGGCCCCCAACGCACTAATTAACCCTTCGGTCGGGCGTGTCCCTCTACAGGAGGGCTTTCCAAAAATAGTCCACAAATAGCCCGGGGGGACGATGTCTCGACTATTTGTTTGACGATTGCTTGTATATTTTTGGGGAATGTTTGCTTTTTCGCCCAACATCCACCTGTATGGGGGCATGCCCGACCTAGGACTGACCCCTCGGCGGTGGACAAACCTCCCTTTAGTAAACCTCCCCTTAGTGAAAACGGCCTGGGACCGAATTCGACGGACCTGGACCCGCAAGAATGACGGCCGCGACGCCCTCTCGCGACGTGTCAGGGTAGGAGGTCTATCCACCTCCGAACCCCCGGAAGGCGCGGGGGGCTTCTCGGAGCACCGAGCCTCCTCTTCCCGGGGCTACGGCCCGCGGGGACAGGTCGGCGGGCTGCCGCTGCCCGTGCTCCCGCCGCTGCCGGTGCTGCTACTGAAGGCGCCCCCAGGGCCTCCAGAGCACCCCTCGCAGGGCCCAGAGGGCCCCAGGGGCTCCACAATGGACGGGGAACCTTTGGCAGCCCCCGAACATAGGGGAGGCGTGGGGCTCGGGATCGCAAGGCGCGTCAGGAACGCGACGAGATCCGGCCTGAAGCTTGACGCGAGCGCCCGCTGCAAACACCCCACGACAACTAGGCCGCCAGGAGGGGCCGCCGGAATGACTACTCACCAGACCACCCCAACCCAACCCGAAGACCCGAATTTCGGGTTGGGGGGGGTAAGGGTTTCATCTGTGTTTTTGTCAATACGCCGAGCACCAGGCTCCGGGCGTGGGCCCCGCGCGTTGCGGCAGCCGCGCGCCTGACGCCGGCTGCGGGTCGCAGGCGCGGCGCGGGGCGCGGGCTCCGAGCGCGCCCCTTTGGGCATGTCGGGACAAGCACGCTGAGCAAGCACCGTTTCGAGCGAGGGGCCGCGCTTCGGACTGTGCAGCCGGCGCGCGCATCCGCCGCGCCCATCCTTCCGTGACGTCTGCCGCCGGGCCCTGCCAGCTCGCCGCCGAGCCCTCCCTGGTTGGTGACGTTGGCCGCCGAGTCCTGCCATATGGCCAGGACCCTCGGACAAGACAGATCTTGGCTTAGGTCGGGCCCGTCATCCTACAGGGGGATTTTGATCGAAAAATTAAGAGTACTCAGAAAATACCCCCCAAATGGGCAAAGATAGTGAGAAAAAAACGTCCCCAGACTAGTTTTAAACATATTTTTGAAGATCCCCCCTGTAGAGGGACGGGCCCGACTGAAATCCTGGCGGTCAACCTGCCGAGCCGCCACACGTGGCGCTCCGGGCGAGCGGCCTCCGCCGCGAGCCGCCTGCCCGCGCCGGGCGCGCGAGGACGCGCCGCGCCGGACGGAGAGCCCGCCCGTGGCGCGGGCCGCCTTGCCTCGGCCCGGGGCGCGGGCCCCGCGGTCGGCCTCCTCCCACCCTTTGTCGGAGCGGAGCGAGCTGAGCCCCCGGCGGCTCCGACAAATTCGGCCCCCGGACCCCTCCCCGTGGTCCAGGCGCCTCGGTGTTCCGAGCCGCGTCCGGCCGGCGCAACGAGCCCCCCCCCCCCCCCCGAAGGCCAGCCACCCCTGTCTCAACAGGCCCTCTCCTGACCTCGGGGGCGCCAGCTCGAGCCTCGCCCATGGCCGCAAGCCCAGTGAGCCTTCGTCCACGACCTCGGCGCCCGTGCTGCCTTCTGCCTTCGGGGATCTACTGACCCGGGCCAATCCAAACCCAGGTCCGTCGGGCGTTGCAGGATCCTGCAGGATACTGCAGGGTCCTGCACCCAAGCCCGGGTCAATGCAACCCTGGCGCTGCAGGATCCTGCAAGCACTGGCGCTCTGACCAGAGGCCTCTTAAATGAGATCCGAGTAGATAGTGTCGGAGGATCGCCGATGCATCGGCGATGCATCTCGGCAACGTCGCGGACGCATCCGCGACGTCGGCGTGGGGAGCATTGGGCTCCACATCGAGCCGCATCGTCGTTGCATCAGCGATGCGGCGCGATCCTCCGACCCCATCTACTCGGACACCATCTGGGAGGCCTAGTCTGACTGACCCCCGTTTGCATTGACCCCCATCTCTTGAGCCCGCGCTGGGCAATTCAAAAGGTACCGATACCGCTACTCCCCAGACCTCTCCCGGGGTGCCTTCTGACCAGAATTCCGATGTAAATCCAGCGGTGGTGACGAGGGCCTCCCAGGAGGCCCAAAAAGAAGGAAACGAGCGAAGGGCAGCGGTATGGGTACCTTCTACTCCTCCGACGTGCTGCCTGGCGTCGCCCGCTCCGCGGGCTGCTGCGCCCGCGGCCGCTCTCCAGGGGCGGCTCCGGCTCCCCCCGAGGCGGCCTCGGGGCGGTCGCCCTGGGCGTCGCCCGCGCGCGCGCTCCCCCCGGGCGGGCGCGAGCGCCGCCGACACTGCGCCACCGGAGCCGCGGGGGCCCTGCGAGCGGCAGCGCCATCGACGTCATCCTCTCGCCATCGCTCGGACGTCCATGCCCAAACAGCAGACGGACATGCTCCATGGTTTTAATCTGCCTCTCGTGGCCCTTGCCTGGCCTCGGACCCATCGACAAAACGACTGGGGATGGGAAACCAGTCCCGGGGAAGTGGTCGGGAGGTCGGGGGCCCGCGTCTCGACAAAAATCGCAACGTCGGATGACTGGGCTCTCCCCGTGCATTTGTCGGTTGCGTGCGGACATGCCCCGATGGTCCTCGCCGGAAAAACCTTAGCCTGACGAAAGACCCAACCATATGCAGCCGCAAGTACCGCGAAGGACATGAGACGGAGGAGGGGGGGCCAAAGGGGCCCCAGCCTTCGGTGGAGCTACCTACAGGGCCACGAACCGTGTGAGGGGTGCGCCAAGATGGGGCGGCGCCGCCACGTGGACCCTGCCAACGGGGCCTTCGGTGGAGCTCCCTATGAGGCCACGAACCGTGTGAAGTGTTCGCCAAAAAATTGGGCCGCGCCGCCATGTGGACCCTGCTACTGGGGCCTTCGGTGGAGCTCCCTATGAGGCCGCCAACTATGTGACGGGTGCGCCGAAATGGGGCGGCGCCGCCATGTGGACACTGCCACTGGGGCCTTCGGTGGAGCTCCCTATGAGGCCACAGAGCGTGTGAATGGTTCGCCAAAAATGAGCGGTGCCGCAATGTGGACCCTGCCACTGGGGCCTTCGGTGGAGCTCCCTACAAGGCCACAAACCGTGAAAGGGGTGTGCTGAAATGGGTGTGGCGCCGCCATGTGGATCCTGCCACTGGGCCTTCGGTGGAGCTCCCTATGGGGCCACGAACCGTACGAGGGATTCGCCGAAATGGGGCGGCGCCGCCATGCGGACCCTGCTACTGGGGCCTTCGGTGGAGCTCCCTACAGGGCAACGAATAGTGTGAGGGTTGCGCCAAGATGGGGCGGCGCCGCCAAGTCGACACTGCGAATGGAGCCTTCGGTGGAACTCCCCATGGGGCCACGAACCGTGTGAATGGTTGGCCGAAATGGGGCGGCGCCGCCATGCGTACCCTGCCACTGGGGCCCTCGGTGGAGCTCCCTATGGGGCCACGAACCGTGTGAAGGGTTCGCCAAAATTGGGCGGCGCCGCCATGTGGACGCTGCCAACGGGGCCAACCCTATACCCTACAAAACCCTAAACCCTGGTGAAGGGTTCGCCAAGGAATTGGTGGGGGGCCCAGCCATGCGGAACCCTGCCAACGGGGCAGTGGTGGAGCTCCCGACAAGGGCCACGAACCGTGTAGGGGTCGCCAAACTGGGGCGGGGGCCGCCCATGTGGACCCTGCCAACGGGGCCCTTCGGTGGAACTCCCCTAAAAAAAAAAAAAAAAAATAAAAAAAAAATAAAAAAAAAAAAGAAACAAAAAAAAACAAAAAAAAATAAAGACTAAAAAAAAAAAAAAAAAAAAAAAAAAAAAAAAAAAATAAAAAAAAAAAAAAAAAACAAGAAAAAAAAAAAAAAAAAAAGGAGGGGGGGCAACGAACCGTGTGAATGGGTTGGCCGAATGGGGCGTCGCCGCATGCGTACCCTGCCATCTGGGGCCCCTCGGTGGAGCTCCCTATGGGGCCAGAACCGTGTGAGGGGTTCGCCAAAATTTGGCGGCGCCGCCATGTGGACGCTGCCAACGGGGCCTTCGATGGAACTCCCTACAAAACCACGAACCGTGTGAAGGGTTCGCCAAAATTGGGCGGCGCCGCCATGCGGACCCTGCCAACGGGGCCTTCGGTGGAGCTCCCGATTGGGCCACGAACCGTGTGAGGGGTGCGCCAAACTGGGGCGGCGCCGCCATGTGGACCCTGCCAACGGGGCCTTCGGTGGAACTCCCTACAAGGCCACGAACCGTGTGAAAGGTTCGCCAAAATTGGGCGGCGCCGCCATGTGGACACTGCCACTGGGGCCTTCGGTGGAGCTCCCGATGGGGCCACGAACCGTGTGAGGGGTGCGCCAAACTGGGGCGGCGCCGCCATGCGTACCCTGCCACTGGGGCCCTCGGTGGAGCTCCCTATGGGGCCACGAACCGTGCGAGGGGTGTGCTGAAATGTGTGCGGCGCCGCCATGTGGACCCTGCCACTGGGCCTTCGGTGGAGCTCCCCATGGGGCCACGAACCGTGTGAGGGGAACGCCAAAATAGGGGGCGCTGCCATGTGGACCCTGCCACTGGGGCCTTCGGTGGAGCTCCCTACAAGGCCACGACAATGTGAGGGGTGTGCTGAAACGAGTGGGAGAAGGGAGGAGGGCGAGGAGGAGGAGGAGAGGAGGAGACGCGGGGCGCTGTTCCTTCAAAACGAGGACCCAGCACCACAGGATGCTTGGGAAAAAGTGCGCACGTCCGAGCGGTGCCGAGGGTCCTGCGGCGCGCACGGCTCGGACGTGGTCCACGAGGCCACTCCGGGAGGGGCCTCCCAGAGAAGGCGGGGAGGGCCTCGAGGAGGGCCCCCGCCTCTCCTCGGAAAGCCACCCCGTCGCCGCCGTGGCCCCGCTGCGCACCACGCGGGAGACGACGAGCTGGAGAGTCGGCTGCACGCAAGAGTTAGGTCGGGCTCGTCCTCCTACAGCGGGATGTTGGGCGAAAAATTTGAAATACCCAGAAAATACCCCCCAAATGAGTAAAAATAATATGAAAAAATCGTCCCCTGACTATTTTTCACTCATTTTGAATGTTCCCCCTGTCGAGGGACAGGCCCGACTTCACGCAAGAGTGACCCTGGGTAGGAGTGACCTGTGGTGCGCGGCTCTTTGGGGGCCGCGGGAGGACCAACACACAAGCGCGCAAGACGCTACCACCGCATCGTATTCGGCGATCGGGGGACCCCATTCTGGCCATCGCTCGGACGTCCATTCCCTGTGTTTTTTTCGGTTTCGTGCGTGGTTTTTTCGCCAAATGATCAAGGATGCTCCTCGATGGTCCTCGCCGAAAGAAAACATGCACACGTCCGAGCGATGCCAAGCATTTGGCCCGCACCAAAGAGCACTCCGGCTTGAGGTCACTCGCGCGTCCAGTCGAGCGAGGCGAGGGCGAGGAGGCCCGGCCCTCAGCTCAGCAGCGCCGGCAGCCGCAGCGGCCTCCGGGCGGCCAGGTCGCCCAGCGTGGGCACCCCGTGGCACGTCGGCTGCGGGTTGATCAGGTCTAGGGTCACCTGGGACACACAGAGACGTGATACAGGCCTCGGAACAAATTAGCGAACACATGCCACATTTTTCCGTCAACGCCTCCCCCAACCCCCAATGTTCAAAGTTGGCGGTGGGTCTGGTGAGATGCACTTCGACCGCAGTCTCCCCCGCGCGTGCCAACATTGAGTTTGGGGGGGAGGGGGAGTGTTCAGTAATTGTTTCCCTCTACCGTAGTGCTACATGTCCTCCCTGGAGGCGCGCGTCCGACCCGAACACATAGTATACCCATCTTGTGGTACATCGTTTCCCGAGCGGTGTGGCCAGAAAGCGCCCGCCGCGCCGCATACACTGCAAGAGTTCGCGGTGCGCGCGTCGCCCCCTGGGGGGGACGACGCACCTATGGTGTGAATGTGTTGGCGCGACGCCGCTCACCCCGCCCCCGTGCGCGTACGGGGGCAGCGCTTGCAGCAGCTCCTGGGCCGACATGGTCGGCGCGCGGCACAGCTCCCATGGGCTCCAGGTCCGCCGTTGAGGCGGACCACGCGGAACTAAGCCCTCCACTATGCCCTTTGACTATCCTGAACAATCGTAGGGGGGAGCGTCTGGCTCTTCTCTCCTCCTCCCTTCCTCTCCTGCCCCTCCTTTATACTCCTCCTTCCCCTCCTCCCCTCCTTCCTTCATCCTTCCTCCTCCTCCTCCCTCCTCCTCCTCCTCCTCCTCCTCCCTCCTCTCTCCCTTCCTCCTGAGCGCCGTAAGGAGCGGGAAGCTGGCTCTTGGGGGGCGCGGACGCCGACATGTGGAAACACATTGTGCATTTACGATGGCCCCCGCTCGTCGTATGGGCTCCTCATCGCGCAGATCCGCACTGCCCTGGGCGGGGGTGGGCTGTCGGGCCCCCGTCGGCGAGGACTGGGCGATTGGCGGCCGCTGCCACGCCCCCGAGCCCATCTGCGATCAGTGGGCGACGGCGGGTCGATGCTGAGCCGATCCTTCCCCCCAAATGATCCTCGTCGCCCTGCCTACGGGCCACGGCCCGGGCCTGCGGCGGCCGCTCGGAAGGACCCGTGCACCCCCCCAGGACGCCCTCGGCGAGGCGCAGCTGCTGGAAGGCACCCCAGGGATGGGATGCCGCCGAGAACGGCGAGTCACGCCCGCACACCTCGGACCTCGAAACCGAAGACGCCCTCTGCCCAGACATCCGCCGTCTCGGTTTCTTCGAGACACGGGCCCCCGTCCTCTCGACCACGTCCCTGGGATCGGTTTTTGTCGTCCCGAGTCGCGTTTCGACCGTCCCGAGGCCAGGTAAGGGCCCCGAGAGGCCGAAAGCCACGAGAAACCGTTCCCGGGGAAGTGGCCGCGAGGTCGGGGGCCCCTGTGCCGCGAAAAACATGGAGGCGCCGGATGCCTGGGCCACGCGGCGCCCGACCACCACGCCGCTCTGGCGCGCGCGCCCCGCGGGGGCCACGCCGGCGACGACCACGAAGTGCCCGTGGCCGCCCGCGAGGCGCAGGTCGGGCCGGGCGAAAGGGGGGGATGGCAAAGGGGGGCTCCGAGAGTCAGCTCACGTGGCCGATTCTCCCGGCGCCTCCCGGCGCCGGAGGCGGCCATAAATCAAGGGATGGGCCCCTCGGTGGAGCTGAAACCAGCTGCATGCAGCAGCTTAGTGGGCCCTGGAAACGACAGGGCCGTTTTTGTTACCGGTTCCGTTTTGCAGTTTTTTTGCCGGTTCCGACGCCGTTTTCTTGCCGGTTCCGTCGCCGTTTTTTGACCGGTTCGGGCTCCGGTTCCAATCCTGGAGCCGTTTTTCACCGTTTCTGGTCGCCGTTTTTTTGCCGTTTCCATTTTCAAGGGACATTTTTTGGGGAACGGTGAAAAAACGGCCCTGCCGCTTCCGGGGCCCACAAAGTGCAGCAGACTTCGTAGCACCCCCTTTCCCCGTCCCCCCCCTGTCGCCTGGCCCGAGCAGGTCCTGCGCCGCCTCCGCGGCCGAGGCGTAGCGCAGGTGGCACCACCCGACCAGCTCGGGCACCGGCAGGTCGGGCAGCACGGGGCCCGGGCCCGGGGGGCCTCGGATCGGCGGCGCGCCCCAAGGGTCGAGTCGGGCGTGTGCCCCTATTTTCGACGAGAAATAAAAAAATACGCCAAACATCTTCCTACATGGCGAGAAAAGCTAAAAAATAGTCCCCAGGCTAGTGCTTGACTATCTTTGAACATTCCTCCTGTAGAGGGACGGGCCCGACTTAACCCTAGGGGGGAAGGACTCCCGCCTGGGCATTCGTCGTCGTCTGCCTGCTTCTCCCCTCCTCGCCCCCTTCCGCCGGACAGCACAGCCTGCCCGGAACCAGCGTGGCGGCATATAGGAGCCTGACGCTGAGGGCTCGAGAGGCGAGCCTCGCCTCGGGCCTGCTGCGCTTTGTCATATTTTTTCTGGGTGCTCGGAATTATTTCTGGTAAGCCGACAGCGGCGCGCATGCCAGCTATCAAATCGATGCACGCGTTGCGGCATGCGCTTGGGGGGGAAGGACTTCTTCCGGGGCTCGAGGTTCGATGTCTTCGCCCGTGCTCGTCGGCACTGGGCGGTTGTGGCTCGGCCTCGGGGCGCTCTCCAGCGGCTCTGCGCCTCGGCGAGGGCGTTCCAGGGAGGTGCCCGGAGCGCCCCGAGCGGCCGCTGGGGGCCCGAATGGTGACCCGAGAACTGCCAGCAGAGGGGGCGGGCCGTCTCAGAAGACGCAGAGGGCTTCTAAAGGGGCCCCAGGACACACAAATAAATACACACAAATAAAAATATTCGCCATATTTTCCTATATTTTCTGGGTTTCTGTCTTCCCCCCCACTTCCCATATTTTCCCATATTTTCTGGGAGTCGACGATTAATTGTGTCTGTGTGTTTCTTTCCCTCCTGATTCTCGGAAAGCTGAAGAGCTTCTGACAAGCCCTGCCGCCTTCAGACAAGGCCTGCGGCCTCTCACTTCCCCCATCGGCGCACCGCCGATCTCGGCATCGTTCCACCAACCCCTGTCACCACTGGCGTGGCCTTGGCCCCACTGGCCGAAACACCCAGCTAGCTAGTGGAGATATATGCGCCTGCTCCTTTGGATCAGGGGGGCCAATGCCCATCCAGGAGGGTGGGCTGGTGGGGCTGGGATACCATGGCACAGTGGGGATTGGGGAAAGGTTAAACGATGCTGAGCCTGGGAAAAAGAGCGAACGCACACTGTCAGGCTGCTGCCATGAGCAACGCTACATGAAGAACGAAGTCCCCCTCTGGCCCACCAGAAGCGCATGGCTGCACCAGGAGCGCCAGAGGGTCAACCGTGGAAGGACCGGACGACCAGCGAGCCCCTTCCGAACCAGGCTGCTTCTCGTCTCGGCGTCTTGACTGTACTGACGCCGACACCCGCCCCTCGTGGATCTTCTGACCTGGGTCAATCCAGACCTGGGTCAATCAGGCCTTGCAAAATCCTGCAAAATCCTTCAACATCCTGCGCCCAAACCCGGGTCCATGCGAGGGATCCTGCAGGATCCTGCAGGACCCTGCACCCAAACCCGGGTCAATGCGACCCTGGCCCCGCAGGATCCTGCAAGATCGGGCGCTCTGGCTGACCTCCGCCTGCATTGGCCCCCATCTCTTGAGCCCGCGCTGGGGAATTCAAAAGTTACTCGGGAGCGGCAAAGAGGGGGGTGTCCAAGAAGGGGGGGTGCAAATCATGACCGGCGGCATGTGCGCGGCCCAGCGGGGGGGCCAGGAACGTAATGAAATAAGAAGAGGCGCCATGAAATCAGGGGAAATATCATGGCCCCCGCCATGATCTCCCCCCCGCCCCTAGTCATCACCCCTCTCTTTGCCGGCCCCGAGGTACCGATACCGCTACTCCCCAGACCTCTCCCGGGGTGCCTTCTGACTAGAACTCCGAGGCAGATCTGGCGGTGGTGACAAGGGCCTCCCAGGCCCCCTCGCGTTCGCCCTGCCCTGGGCCTCCTATGGGGGGCTCCCCCGCGCCGCCGCGGCGAAACCCGCCTCGGGCCCCTGGCCCGAGCGCGCCCCTGGGGGGGCCCAGGCCCAGGGATCAGCGGCGTGGCTTTTCTCGAGGGTCAGGGTAACCGGTATCCCCCGGGGCCGCAGGAGGAAGGGGAGGGGGGGGGGAGGAGGAGGAGGAGGAGGAGGAGGAGGAGGAGGAGGAGGAGGAGGAGGAGGAGGAGGAGGAGGAGGAGGAGGAGGCAGGAGGAGATGGAGGGATGAGGAGGAGGAGGAGGGAGGAGGGAGGAGGAGGAGGAGGAGGGAGGACGGGCGGAGGGAGGAGGGAGGAGTGGGATGGAGGGAGGAGGGAGGAGGGAGGAGGGAAGAGGGAGGAGGAAGAGAGGAGGAGGAGAAGAGGAGGAGGAGGGAGGAGGGAGGAGGAGGAGGAGGAGGAGGAGGAAGAGGAGGAGGAGGAGGAAGAGGAGGAGGAGGAGGAGGAGGAGGAGGAGGACGGGTCGCCTAAGCCCTTCGGAGAAACCCTGCAGGCCAGGGCTGCATCGGTGTCGTGCCGTCGGACGAGCCCATCAGCGTGCTATTTGTGAACAACACGCACTGCCTGAAAGACGGCGCCGTGTGGCACTGATGCTCCTCACAGAAAGACAACGATCGGAGATGGCTGGCTAAGGGCAAAAGGACACATCGACCTGGAATCGATGATACGTCGCCGATAGATCGGCGATGAGCCCTCGATAGCGAAACCGCAGTCTTGCGCGCGGTGGGCTATCGGGCCCCCATCAGCGATCGATGGGCGATCGGGGGTCGATGCGTTCCCCCCTGAGCCAGTCCCCGCCTCCACAGCGTTCAGGCCACAACTCGGACCTCCGACGGCCGTCCGGGAGCCTGCCCCCCCCTCAACCTGGACTAGGATCTGGGACTCCAGAAATACCTGCCTTCCACGACCGATGGGCAATCTCTCGAAGCCTGCCTTCGGCCCCTCCCCGGGGGGGCCAGCGTGCCCGGGCTGCCCTGGCAGCTGCGCGGGCGGCTGCACCGCCGGCGGCGCGGCCAGGCGCCCCCGCTCCTGCCAGTGGGAGGGGGAGAGCGCGCGGGAGGCGATGCCGCCAGGGGCTGCTGGAGGTGGCCCCCTGCGACTTCCCGGGGATTTCCCAGGGAGGCCCCCACGTCCTGCGGGAGCACCCCGGCACGAGGCCTCGGGGGGGCCGCCCGGGTGCCCTCGAAGGGGAGCGCCGGGCTGGGGGCACCCTGTGCCAGGGGCACCTGTGGCGGCCCCGGAGTGCCGAGCTCTCGGGGGCGGCCCCGGGCAAGCTCGCGCCTCGGGGTCTTGTGCTGTGGGGGGTGCCCTGGGGAAGGGCAAAGAGCCCGAGGTCAGTGGCGGGACTTGGGGAACAGGCAGGCGCCGAGCGGTCTGGCGGCCCCAGCGGCTCGAAGGCCACTCGAGCCGCAGGAGGTCTACAGTAGACACCTGCCCTAAATCTTGCTGCGGGAGATCTTGGGGCACATGTAAGCGTTGACTTATTCGGCGTTTCGACATTGGGCGGAACGGGGGGGGGAGGGAGGGGTGTCCGGCTCCGGACGCCTGCTTAGTGCGACTGTTTGGGACCGTGCGTCCTACGTGAGAGGCTCCACCTGCTCGAAACAGGCGCCAAAAAACAGCCAAGATCCACTCCAGCGGGGGGGGGAGGCGGGGGGGTGCGAGGGCCCGCGCCGATCGGCAAAACGAGGAATAAAAAACTACGACCATTCTTCGCCCATGTTTGAGAGCCCTAAGGTGCATCAGAACTTCAGTAGGTCCCAGGGGCCATCGGGAGATAAGAGAGTTCCGCTGGGAACCTGCTGGCAGGCCGATTTCTTTTTTGACGTGCCCACTGCAGGGGGCTGGATGAGAGGAGCATGAGGATCCGCAACCTGTTGTTCTGCGCGGGTGCTGCATGGCATGGCTTGGCTCACGATCTTCACGGGGCTGCTCGTTTAGAATCAGCGTTTTACACTCTATGACTGCGCAGAGCAAAGAACTAAGAGGATGAAGAAGAATCTGAATGGAGACTTGCTAGGTATGCAGGTCCGCTGTGACACACGTCGACGGTTAGACAAACAAATCACTGTGATGGGAAAGGATTGGTGGGAGGGGTAGGATGTCAGATCTGGCGCGAGCACATCTAGCGTGTCCCCCTCACTTCTCTTTTCTCCCGTCTCCCTCTCCCCTCTCCTCCTCCTCCTCCCTCCCTTCCCTCCCTGCTCCCTCTGGTTACTTCCCCTCGCCCCTCCTCTCCCAACTCGTCCTCGACTTCTTCCTCCTTGTTCCCCACATCCAAAGTGGGGTTCTTGTTTTCTCCGCACACCCCCCGCGCAGGATCTCACACCCTCTCTCTCTCTCTCTCTTCCTCTTTCTCGCCATCATCATCATCAGTCATCATCATCATGACCCACGCCTCTCCTCCTCAGCACCATCACACTTACCCATACACCACTCGATCGCTCACTCACTCACTCACTCACTCACTCATCATGATCATCACATGAGGATATCATCCGTT